GGGGGAGTGCCCCTGGCGGAGCCGCCGCCTGCACGCCCTCGTTGGCCTGCTGGCTCTGACACTGCGCGTTCTGCTACGTTCTGCTTGCCTGGAAGCCCGAGCCTAAAGCTACTCATTAGACTCGTCAAAATTCATGGGAAGGGGGAAATCTACTGTATATGGCTTCTTGTGCTGCTTTGCAGTGCGTTTGGTGTTAGTGTTGCCTCTCTTGATTGTAGAAGTGATGAAATAGCAAGATTTTAACGAACAAAGATTGAGAGAGTAAAATTTTATATTAAGACTGATAGAAGTATAGGTCTTGAAAAATAAAGTCCTCATCTACTATCTGCTGCTCCTTGAGCTGGCCATATAAGTGCTTTAAAATGCCTAGAAGTCCTGAAATTCTGTGAAGGATAAGAGTTTATCATCTTGATCCCTTTTTATTTACGGCATTTGCTTGAAGGTCTTCATAGAAAGCAATGAAATTTATTTAAGTACATAAGAACATATATGTGTGTGTGTATATATATATATTTTCGTTATTTTAAGAGTTTAGCTTGAAGCCAAATTTGTTCCACTTCTAGGCTGTCGTAACAGATGCGGTCAAGCTTAGGCTTCTGCTCTTATCTGAAAGGTGAAGGTAGTTTTCATCTCGATCAACTTGTTCTTGCAGCTGTGTTTCAGAGTTTTAAGATGCTATTGCTTCCTTTGAAAAATCCTAAACAGAAGTGTCTGACTAAGTACTGTTCTGATAATGCCCCAAACTTAAACAGATGCTCTTTAGTATTTAAAATAAAAAAGTGTTTATAGCAACAGTGTTTATAGTGTGGCTTTAATGTAAAGTTACATTTTAAAGCTCTGCTTCAAATAACTTAACAGCATCTGATTTGTTTATTGAAAAACAGCAGTGTACTTGCAGGATGGGCAATATAGGTGATGCTGTCTGTCTTGAAGATGAGTAGAAATTGACTCAACAAAAGTGCTGCTAACTGATGTTGGAATTCTTTTTAAATGATAGTGGTAATTCCCTGCTGTGCTGAGACAGCTGTGCTTTCAAGGAGGTCCTCATAGGTTGGCCTGTAAAGGTGAGAGAAGTGGCACATTTTTACCATTGTATTTATACCTCAGTTTGGGAAAATGTTCTAATACAACTTGACAGGCCATGTCCTATAACTTAAAAAATAAAGTGTATATATATTTATATATGTAGTCCTTTGAGACCGTTTCCACAAAAATATTGTGATGGCTGTTTTATTGTAGAATGCTACTTAGTAGAATGTCCAAGCAGAGTGGTGATTATTGGTTTCAAATTTAAAGTACTCACAGTCCGTAATTTTTTGTAAGATTATCAGTGTGTTGATTCTGTCATGCTCTTTCTTTATGACACTCTTTTGGCACATTTGGGTGCTTAGAGCTCAAATATAACAAAGTGGGGAGTATAGGTTAGCCAAAACCCTTTGTTAACAAAGTTATGAATTGGTAAGGCTTCAGATATTAGATATTTCTTGGAGTAAAGAAGAAAAAGTTGAAGTGGGTGAAGAAGTTGTTAAGAAAATATGGCCTATAAGCTATTCTTTGATTCCTAGACCAATTAAGTGTTTTCTCATTAAGTTTCTATTAAATACTGCTCTTTCAGTTCTTTCTGCTCACTTCTGCTGCTGTTTCCTACTTTGATCCATTGGAATTCACCATTGTTAGTAATGTTCAACTGACTGTTTTGGTAATTATGTTTCTGAAGCTTGGAGAAGAAGAAAAAAATTTCGAAATGTGCTACCCTACTTCTTGGCTGTCCTGAAAGAGCTCTTTGGCTTGGCATCTTTGACAACAATCTTTGGATGTGTGGTTTTTCCTTTCTAGGGGCCATGTGGAGTGTTCTATATTATTTTCACTTGCCTTGACCATCCTCCTGTTTACATTTCATCTCCTCTGTGTTTCACAGCAAAGAAGCCTGTGACTGTGAAAAGTATGCTTTACTCTCTTATTAAGTTGAAAGAGGACAGGCTTCTCTAGCAAAGTTACTACTTGATGCAAACAGCCTAAATATCTAAAATTGGAGTTTCTTAAGTTTGTAATTGAGACACTGGCTGTTGGTCATTGAAGGAAATGGATCCTATAGAACTGGAAGGGATTTACTGGGCCATCAAGTTCTAACATACATGTATTTGGCTAAGGTTTAGCTACTTTGAATGTTTAGAGATTTAGCTAAACAGCAAGTAAAGTAAATGCCTATGGAGCAAATAATCTTACTTCTTCTAAAAATCACTTTTTTTAAAATGTCTGATTGTTTGCCGTACTGATGATATCTAGTAGGTTTAGTAACTTCGAGGTGACATTGCACTGACTTAAAATATTGCTGTTGAGCGGAATATCTGTTTGTACCAGGCTGTGAGAACAGGATACAAGGAGAATGCCAGTTCACTGCTCTAGCCAAGCAGTGGCAGAATACTGGAAAATTTGAGGCAGAAGTAATGACAAATTTTAGGAAAAACAACTATATATTTTCACAGCTGTTCAGAAACGTAATCTTTCTTCCTGCAGTTGAGGATCATTTTGTTGTTTTGGGGTGTTTGGGGGTTTTTTATGAGACCATGGATAAGAATCATAGAATCATAGAATCATTAAGGTTGGAAAAGACCTCTAAGATCATCAAGTCCAACCGTTAACCCAACACCACCATGCCCACTAAACCATGTCCCTAAGCGCCTCATCTACACGTCTTTTAAATACTTCCAGGGATGGTGACTCCACCACTGCCCTTGGCAGCCTGTTCCAAGGCCTGACCACTCTTTCAGTGAAGAAGTTTTTCCTAATGTCCAGTCTAAACCTCCCTTAGCGCAACTTGAGGCCATTTCCTCTCGTCCTATCGCTACTTACTTGGGAGAAGAGACCAACCCCCACCTTGCTACAACCTCCGTTCAGGTAGTTGTAGAGCGCGATGAGGTCTTCCCTCAGCCTCCTCTTCTCCAGGCTAAACAGCCCCAGTTCCCTCAGCTGCTCCTCATAAGACTTATTCTCTAGACTCCTCACCAGCTTCGTTGCCCTTCTCTGGACACGCTCCAGCACCTCAGTGTCCTTCTTGTAGTGAGGGGCCCAAAACTGAACACAGTATTCGAGGTGCGGCCTCACCAGGGCCGAGTATAGGGGCACGATCACCTCCCTACTCCTGCTGGCCACACGATTTCTGATAAGCATGAAGTTCTTGGTGCAACTCGGTGCATTTGCAGTTAAACACGTTCTCATTGCTGAAAGCTCAGGCTGTGGCTAGTTAGCATCATAAAGGAGTATATGTCTAATATTAAAATGAGTAGCTTATCAAAATCATAGCTGTTGCATTTTAATGCTGAAATGCTTTTATTTATTGTTTAGGGGAAAAAAAAAGATGTATTATGGGATTGTGTCTCAGTGGATTCCTTAGGCTTGGCGGGCTTCTAAGTGTAAATATTGAAATCCAAAACTGTACAGAGAAAGCTTTTTTAGTGGCTTTACCAATATTTTTAAGGATCTATTAATTTCCGTGTCTGTCTCTGGATTTTTTCTTTTTTCACATTTCACCATAACTGAAAGCTATTGCTTCAGTAAGAAAATTACAGAAACTGTTTTTAGATTGTTCATACTCTGTATATTGTGAGCTTATAGTCACAGCTGGTTGAAGTGACACGACAATACATAACTCATTTAATAATCTTTGTATCCAGAAAGCTATAAATGTGGTGTGTAAAGATTCAACTTTCCTTAACAGTTTCTCTCTTCAGAAACTAGAACAACTCAATCAGTATCCAGATTTCAACAACTACTTGATTTTTGTTCTTACGAAGTTGAAGTCTGAAGGTAAGTTCTTGAGATACTGACTGTTTTATTCCACTTTTTTTTTTTGCCTTTTTTTTAATTTGTTTTATTTAGCTTGAAAGAAACAGGAAGCTGATGCCTATAGTCAGTTTGCTGGTTGGTCGAGCTCCATAGTCATGTAGAATTCATTAATCATCTCAGGAGTCTTTGTGGAAAAAAATCTGATAACTTATTGGTGTTTGTAGTTTCAGCCTTGGAATAGATTCCAGTCTAAATGTCCTATGAAATCTTCCCATAAATGTTGGAGCATCATACCTCTATCAGACTGCAGTGAAATAACTTTGATGAATCATGACTACATGCATTATAAAACATGTTGCTAAGTTCAGTTATGATAATGATCTTCCTAGTAATGAGACCGTTTACATATTTTGAAGATCACATCCTAGAATTGTCAGAAGATATTGTCTCTCAGAATCTTCATTCTGAAGTCTTAATTCTAGTAAAATGCAGTTAGAAATCAACTGGCTACTTACTGTTGTCTTATTCTTATGGATGTTAATACAAACTGCATATGGCATCCTGTGTAGCCTCTACCAGTTGATAAATTCAGACAATTCCTTAGCAATGATCAGGGTGTGTGAAAGATTGTCTTTCCAGCTACTGATTCGCGAGGTCTTTGACAGTGAAAGAAATTTGTTTCAAGATATGTTTTTGCACATCTGGCTTCTTTACATTTGTTTGTAATTAATGTATTCAATTGTTGGAGTTGTTTCCTGTGGTGGTTTGGTGTTTTTTTTTTTTTTTTTCCCTCCTTGGTGTCCTGCTACCAGTACTTTTTCTGCCTTCTAGTGTTTCACCTTTGGGTTTCTGGATGCTTGCTTTTTTCACTTTAAATTAGATTTTTCTTACATGTGGCCCTGTAACCTTCAAAGAATCAGCAAGAACATTTATCTTAAGTTTTAAGTAGTGTTTTGGTCATGCTGTCAGCTTACTTTGGGAGGAAGGAAAACAGAGAGGAGGAAGAAAGTATATTTTCATATTTGAGGGCTGGTGTATATCCCAATGTTTTTGTGTGTTCTATTTAGGAAGTCTCCTGATCATCTGTAAGGCTTGGGGGAATGCCTCAAGCTTGAGAGAGCTTTCAAGACTTGAATCAGCCAGGATATTAAATTTTTGAGCAAGGTGCTGGTGTAAATACACCATGTGCTTTATACCATTAACTGAAAAATGAAAAGCGGAGTGAGTCCGGTAGTGGGGTCTGGAGTTTGTACAAAGGATGTGACGAGAAGCTTTTTCCACATTTTTTTCCCCACAAGTTTGTTTTCTAACACTGCCTTACTTGCTAATTGCTGCTTCTTCATTCTGTTCACCACTTGTGCTTGACGTTCTAGATACTGATGTGTGCTTAGTGATGTGTCAGAATCTGTCTTCCCAACAGATCTCCTTAGATTATCTAGTAGTCTTCTTTTACCCTTCTTAATGTTTACACACATCAATCTCTTTGGAATTGGATGAAGAGTAGGAGATGCTAAGTATTGCAAAATGGTTGTATAAAGTTGTTTTATCTGAGGAAAAAAAAAAAAATAGGATCTGGCAGGATGAGCAGGCAAGCAAGTTGGGGAGAAGTAGCAAGTTAACTTCTAAGAAGAGGTGTTTGGCATCAGACTGCACTGATACCTCTCACAGGTACATCAGGTCTTTTGTGAGCTGAGAAGCAGCTGTTGCTTCAGAGATGCTCTTGTCCTGCATCAGTGACATTTTTAGAGTCATAATCTTTTGTCCAAAGCAACTGTTTTTTAACTTTGTATTTCTAGTTCAGGAAACTTGCAGAATATTGAAGGTGCCGTAACTGAGTCTGGTGTTGGTGCTTTTCATAGTATTTGCCAAGTTCTAAATACCCTGTTACTTTGCTTGGGTAGGACTAATGAGGGACGACAGAAGACTGTTGGTTGGATTTGCTTTGAATCCAACCAACAGCCCTCCGTCGTCCCTCATTAGTCCTGACTAAGCAAGGTAAAGAGATCGTTAGGACAGCTATTCAGTAGCTACACTACTCTTGCATCCTCTTTTTGACCAGTGGGCAAAAACGTGATGGACTCGTCCGGTAGATAACTGTTTTCAGTACAACTGGGAAAGTATTCTTTCCCTCCTGAAGAGGGTTCTGATGGCGGTCTGTCCTACAGCCTTGCCAAGTTTGTTGGCTAGGGGAAAGAACTAGTGTGCGTTACGCCACAGACCAAAGCATAGCATACTGTTGGAAGTTCATGCTTCTGTTATGGCTGTACTGTCCCAGCAGAAGGAGCCATGAAAGTAAGCTTCCAACATCACTGACAGCTTATTCAATAAAAATTATGGTGTTTTGATAGTGCATGAGAAAAAGAGCTTGGTTTGATAGCAGATGGGACTAACCTTTGATTCAGTTTTTGCCTGTGTTGAAACCACTGCTGAGAAAACTGTGCTTAAGGATACATTTAGGTGACAGCTCCTAAATGGGGAATTCTGTAATGGTTGATTGAAATGTATGTTAAATACCCTCATTTTACTGTACTGGAGGTTGTACCAAATAATCTTTGGCCTGAGTCTTATGCCTCTGCAGGCAAATAACTTTGCAAGCAAACTTTTATTTGCAAGCAAGTAACTTTGCTTGCAAAGCTGGCTGTTTGACTGAGGCCTGCCTCTAAGATACTTAGGTAAACCTTATTTGTAGGGAATTTGCTTTGTTTTAGCACCAAAGGTATTATTTTTCAGTCGCCAAAAGTATTACTTCTTTTTCCCTCCAGTGTTAGCTTCATCAGGCTTCTGTGTCTGAATGCTTGTGACTTGCTGGTTTTAGGTCTATTGTGGTACTCCTACACGTATGTGGTGGTTTTCTTGGTTTTGTTTTTAAATTCTGTGGGCTTTGTTAAGCTGTCAAAGCTTATTAAGCTTGGGTCTTCCTGGAAACAGGTGTTGCCCTGCTACCATTTCATCAGTGAAAATATATGGCCTGGCTTGCAGCTATGACATATACATGCCCTAGCTATAAGCACTTCCTTTCTTTTTTTCTTTTAACTAGTGTGCGTTTCTAAAGATAGTGTTGTGAATCTGGACAAACCCCAATGTTACAAATATCGCAGAATATAAAAAATGTCAAGGAAACAACATTCAGTCCTGGAAGTCAGACAGCAGGCAAGCTGATGGAGTGAAATACGATCCCAAGCCATTAAAGATTGAGGTACAGTTCTCTAGAATGCACTTCCCAGGAGGCATGGTGCTTAGAGATCTTCTTTAGTTGGGTGAGATGGAGTCTGTCCAGATTAATTGAAAAATATGTGAATGAAAGAAACTTGGTTTTACTCATTTATCTGTAAATGAAAATATTACTCAGATGCTCTGTTAGTGTAGCTGTTCCTTCTTAGTTTGGCCGGTATAAAACCTGGCAGATAATGTAGTGGCACTGCCCTGCCTTAGTGTTGGTTTATGGGTTTTGTTTGTTTGGTGGGTTTTTTTGTTTGTTTTTGTTTGGTTTTTTCCTGGTGTCCCCTGAGCTGAGCTCAGAATCCTATAGGCTTCTGTATTCTGTTAATGAGTTGTTTTCTGGAGTGTGTGCATGTTGCTGCTGCTGCTTCTCAGATGACTTTCTGAATTTTATGTGTGGTTGACTGAAACAGTCCAGGGCTGCAAGGGAGTATCAGCTTTGCCTCTGTTGTTGCTTTCTTCGCTTACTTGCAGCTTCCCTTCTTTGTTCCAAGTCATGCATCTAAGTCCTCCTTTCCTTGTTTGCATTTTTGCTTCCTTAGTCCAGGTCTGTTTCCTTGAAGGAAAATACGAGAAAGCATTGTCCTAATTTCAGCCTCCTTGCTGTCTTGCCAAGGCCAGTTCTAGCTTTTAGTTAAGGTGCATTGAGGCAGTTGTCCAAGACATCTGAAGCACGAGGCAGGGCAGAGGAAAGACCTCTAGGTATCATAAGACGGACAATTCGTGCTGTAAGTGGAAATTCTGAGATTTCCAACCAAGTTGACCATAATGGTGAAATTCCCAAAGTTGTCCGTATCAAAGCCTTGCTTTTTTTATACCTTCTGTAAATGAATGCTCAGAAGATCCATTTTTTTTCCCATCTAAAGTAGACTGACAAAAATAGCATCCTTCTTAATTCATTTGTCTTGTCCTTTTGTAGAACAACTTTGTCCATTCTGTGGTGTTTTCTTCTTATTATTTTTAACCTGAAATTACACCATGCTTTATCTCACACAGCATCCTGAATTTCGTGAATGAGAGGTCGATCTGGCTTGTGCTAAATTATCAAAAGATGATGTCCATTGTCATTTGCCAAGAATACTCTCTAATCTTCATAAATTCAATTTTTCAGTTAGGGAGCATGATGACTCTGTGATTGGGTGTGATGACTGTTATAATCCTGCCATAATATTTTGTTGATGCAAGGTTGTATCAGCATACTGTGAGATGACAGGCCTACTTGCATCACAAAGACTACTGTGTTGCCTTCTGGTAACATTTCTCTGTTCAACTCTACTGAGAAACTAAATTGAGACTTTGTGTTTCTGCATGTATCCGTTCTCTGACTGTGATCTTCATACCTCTGAGCAAAAGAAGGGAAGCTGTCTTTATATGGGCTCAGAATTAATGTGGTATTCTACTTGGCCTAATATGGCCTTCATGTTGGTGGATGTTTCATACAAAAATTGCAATAACAGAAGTGGTGTCAAAGCTTACCACTTCTTAGGTAATATTTGACATACCTAATTCCTCTTTATGTGGAGAAAAAAGAACAACTACTGATATGATATCTATTCTAGTTAAGATTCACAATGTCCATTCTTATTCCCAAAACACACATGTCCCTTCTCAGATCTACCTTTTTTCCTTCTTAGACAAGAGACAGAGTCATGGTCAGTTTGTGCACAGTTTCTGTAAAGTTTTGTGTTTGTCTCCCTCTTCCCTGTCTGCTGGGCTCTTGGCAGGACCTAGGCTGATGGAAAAATATTGAGAGAAATGCATGATGGTCCTGGTAGCTTTCTGCTGGCCCGTTTAGCCGTAGT